TATTTTATTACAAATATTATATATATATATATATATAATTATATTAATATAATATGATAATTAATACTGATATAATTATAATAATATAATTACTATAATTACACAATAATAATTATATTTATTTAAATATAAATTCTATTTTATTATATTTTATATTTATATGTAATTTAAATATATATATATATATATATAATTATATTAATATAATATGATAATTAATACTGATATAATTATAAAAATATAATTACTATGATTACACAATAATAATTATATTTATTTAAATATAAATTCTATTTGATTATATATTATATTTATATTTATTTTATTAACTATAAATTGTATTCTATTATATATTTCATACTATGTTTATTAAAATACATTTACTATAAGTAAAATAAATTAATTAACTTATGTATATATATTTTTAAATATAAATTCTATTTTATTTCTATACGAACAACTAAATAATTCTTCAAAGCATTATACAAAAATTCTGCTAATTCAAATGCATTTATTATAAAAAAGTAAAATAAATATTTAAACTGATATATATTGCATATTTATTTATCTAATTGCGTATATGCATTGAGTGAATAAAATAACGTTCTAGTCAATTATTTTTTTATTTTTTTTCAATCAATTTTTTTAAACAAAATAATCTCATATTTTAAACACATAATAATCCTAATCTCTATGCTTACAAAGCACTAATAAATATATAAAAATATAATAGAATATAAATAAAGATAAACTAATATAAAAGAATTATATATGAATCGATAACATTTCAAGATTTTTCTATTATATTTTTTTATTTATATACTTCAGATCAGAAATTGCTGAATCTCTCTCGTTGTGGAAAACTTTGAATGATTTTTCTTTTTTTATTTTCTTATCATCATCAATGTTAGATAATTCAATCTTTTACGTGATACTTCTTTATGATATCCTGTATATCATTCTAAATGTTACATAAAAAGGGGAGGTAGAGTAAGAACAATTTAATCAATTGTTGCATTCGTGATAATTGTTATGTCAATTGAATTGACATATTCATGATGAACTAAGTGAAAGAATAAGTATATAGTTTTAAAAAAAAAACAACGTAATAATTAAATTTATCAATGACTTCCTTCTACCAAAATGACTCGACGATCATTTTTCATAATTCAACGAACGAACAATCATTTTGAAATTATATAAAGTTTGACATAATGGTTGTTGATGGGTTACAACCATGTATTATCTTTTGACAAACTCATCCACCGAATTTATTTGACGACTAGTGATATATACATATTTGAAATTTATTCTTTTTTTAAAACAGAAAGAAAAAGTGAAGAAAAAATAATAATAATAATAATAATCAATAAAAAAATACAAGAACAAATTTTCGTTCCATTTTCTTTTAAGGGGGGGGGGGAGGGGCTTTTTTGTGTATCTAACATAAAATTTGTATTATTTTATTTTCTAATTTGTATTACAAAGATCGTAAACTTTTTTTGTTTTTTTTTTTTTTCTTATGTGTTATTCACATTTGTTATGACATATTTTTAAACAATAAATTAATTATTATTATTATTATTATTATTATTATTATTATTATACATGAATATTAAATTTGGTAAAAATTTTGTTGAAATTTTGTGTTTTAATTTGTTTTAGAAAATTGTAAATTATTATTTCACATGTCTTATTCATATGTTATGATACAAAAATGAATATTTGTTCATTGTCCTTGAGATAAAAAATTATGACAACGTTAATGATAATGATAATGATAATGATAATGATAATGATGATGATGATAAATAATAAAATAATAATATTTGACAAATTTCGAATGATAAATTAAAAATAACACAACGAGACGATTTACGATTTTACTTACAGCAAAGATACTTTGTTATACAATTGTATCTATGAATATTATTTAACGTTGAATACAATACTAATTAGAGTTTGTTTTTTTATATACGACCTTGGTATTATTTACACTTATTAAGAAGATATATCTCTAATAAATATGCGTAAGTGTTTAAAGAGGATAAGTAGTCAAACGCAAAATAAAAATAAATAGAAATAACGTTAAATAAGTATAAATATAGAAATGAGAACTATTAAATATAAATAATATATATATATATATATTTTAAATAAATAATGAGCAGTAAGATTAGAAAAAATAATAATAATAATAACAATAATAATAACAATAAAAACATAAATAGAAAAACAAATAAACTTACAAGAGATATATAATTATGTATATATTATATATTATATAATATATATTTATATTTATTTATATATTTATTTAAATATAATAATATAATAATATAATAATATAATAATATAATAATATATTAATTAATAATATATTAATTAATATAATTATAATATATTATTAAATATATTATAATAATTTATTATACATTATAATAATTAAATATATTATATTAAATATATTAATTATTAAATATATATTATAATATATTACATTATATTAATTTGTTATATTTATTATATTATAATTAATATATATATTATAATAATATATTATACTATATAATATATTATTATATATAAAAATATATTATTAAAATATATTTAATAATTAATATATTTAATATTAAAATTAATAAAAGTGTGTGTTTTATTTTGATAAAATTTAGAATAATTATAATTAAATATAATTTTATAATATTGCAAAAAAAATTATACGATATAATATTGAATATATCATAATATTTACATATTAATGTAACTTAATTAAATATTGATAATAATTTAATGAAACGAATAATAAAAATGTAATAGTTAATGTAAATGATTCTACAAATTGAGACAAAATAATGTATTAATTATAAATAATTATTTTCTTATCGTTTAATAATAAATTTTGTTATTTAAGCAAATTTCATATTAACGTTTATAGATACGTATTATTTCATATGAAATATTATAATTTTACGAAATACAGTTATTACGAAATGATGCGTACATATATACATATATAAGTTTATGTGTACGCGTGTGTATGTGTGTCTGTTATTACATATACACATATATCACTAAAATAATAGTAGTCACGTGTTACAAACTATTTGAAAACGTGAACTAAGGAAATACGAAGCTTCTATAAACTAGTTACATCGAACTATCCATCAGTGTTTGGTGAATGTTACTTGGGACAAGATCATTTCATACGTTATTATTTATTTATCTTTGTTTATTATTACTATAGTGTAAGAAAAAGAAAAAAGAAGAATAAAACATTCGACAAACTCGCGTTAATCATTTATATATATTTTTGTTTTGTTTTTTTTTTTCGTAAAATATTTCTAAACAAAATCAATACCGTATTTAAAACAAAATTGATTTAAATTTCGTCAATGAAAAAAAATTATAAAATAGGTACTTTATATATATATATATATGTCGTGATATTAATTTATGATAAAAAAAAAAAAAAGAAAAACAAATTAATATGAAAATAAACAAAAAATAAAACAGTGTGTGTAGAGAAAGTATTTGAACATCGATTAATTAGAAATAAAATCTTGTGACATTGTAGTTTTATTAAATAATTTTTTTTTTTATTATATAAAACAATCAATTTGTGTATATATACTTGAAAGTATCTATTATAAGATAGAATAAAATAGAAATTAATATTCTTTGGAATAAATGAAAAAAAAATTGACAAGAAAAACGAAAGAAAATCGACAGAAATATATATACGAGCAATAAACATTTGAACTATTTGTATAAAAAGAGTTTGTATTTAAACAATAATGTAATAATATCAGATAAATTATTTTTAATTATAATTAATCTTATCAGTATATTTGTAATCGTTATTAGTATTAGTAGAGTTCAAGATGTTTTCAAATCGAACATTGTTATAGAAAAATGTTACGAAAATATGTCGAAAGATAGAAGAAAGATAAAAGATAGATAAATTATTATTAATTTACATAATTACTGTAAAAATTAATTAGAAATATCGCGAATTATAAACGGACTTTAATCCATTATGCAAGGTATCATTGATAAGTATGGATTAAAAAAAAAAAAACTGTAAAATAATTCAAGAAAATGTTCACAGAAAATGAATCGGAACGTTGGACGAGTTATCAGAAGAATGATACAACAAAATATAACAATAAGTAGTCTAAAAAAAAAGTAGAACATCTAAAATTTGGGAGTTCGACTAATGCCGATAACACTTACAAATATACTAATGATAATGTCAATTATAAACTACAAAAAATGACGGGAGATGATTTTACATTCAAACTCTTTTACAAATAGTTCAAACAATTTCTGTTCACGTTTGTGTATTGTTCGTATTTTTCTACCAATATCTTCGTTTTCTTTATCATTTTCATAATTTATTCAACAAAAAAAAAATTTTCTTTTTTCATTATATCTAATAATAGAAACTTTTTCAAGGATATATAGAAATTCATCGTTTATTGAAAAAACATTATTATTTAATAAAGTACAATTTTATCAAATTTTATTTCAAATTTGATCGGTTTATGAATGAGTATTTTTTTTACACCCACTGTAATTAGGAAAATTAAAAGTAGAAAATAATATGACAGATTTAACACGTTCGTCACTTAATCCGTTTCGGTTGAGTTTCTCGTCAGGCCCAAAATTCGACTGTCGGCGCGCCGTAATGTAAACAAGCGATAAGTAGAAATATCAACAAATTAATATTATTTATTTACCGAAAATAATAAAATATAAAACTATCGTTTATTTACTAAAAATAATAAAATATTAAAATATCGTTTATTTATCGAAAATATATTATGTTAAATATATATTATTATTATATTATATATATATATATATATAATATTAATATATAATATTATATAAAATTATTATATAAATATAT